AGGGCATAGCCACGGTCGGGGACCTCCTGACGATTTTGGTAGCGCTTTGGGATGCCGTAGTTCATGCAGGTGATCCTGGTAATGATCTTCGACTTCTTGCGGCCATGCCGGCCTGGACAATCCCACAAATCGCCAAGCGGAAACGCTGGGCGGCAGAGAAGGAGGAGCTGCTCACATTCAGAGAGCAAAAGATCCAGGCTTGATACCGGCAAGGGTGCAAGGATCAAGCAGGACAAGAGATCTGCTACAGCTGGGCAAAAGGAGTGGGACCTTGTGCAGGTTTAGCCTCGGGCTCAGAGTGCAAAGGGGAAGTGAAGAGGGGTCACAAGTGCATGTTGTGCTTCTCAGCTGCTCACCCGAATGCAGAGAGGGCTGCGTCCCCCTCGTGATCCTGAAGGGAGCCGTGGGAGAAAGGGTGCTGCTCACCTCTTGTGGACTCGCGAGAGGAGGGCAGATACGGGGGAAGGAGGGTCGAATGATCAGGGGGGGATGTTTGGCTTGGAATCCCACGCACCCGCGTTGGTTTCCCTCGATTCGACGTCGATCGTTTCGGATAAACTCGGTCGTGGACTCGTTCGATGAGATGAGATGGAGGCAAGGTGCAACTGCGTGCGGGGATGGGCTCGAGAGAGGTCGAGTCAAGCGACGCACGGGCGGTCATGGCGAGCGCATCGTCGGGAAGGGCGGTGGAGGAACCAATCCTGACGCCTGAGCGGGTTGCGGAGGCGCTGGAAAGTGCGAGGGGCTTCGCAAGTATCAGGAGCTGCGAAAGTTCAGGTTCTTGCGCAGTGACATGTTCAGTGGGGCAGAGGACGTGTTGGGAAAATGTTTGAAGTTTGAAGGAGATGGCGGATAAGGAAGGCATACAGCTCGAGGTGTACAGCCTATAGACAAATTGGGTGAGGGTCATGTTGATCTGGCCAAGGAACACCCGTTCAAGGAGCTGAAGGAGGAAGCCAAGATGCACGCGTTTGACGCAGGGCCCGCAGGCTTCCCATGCAACACGTTCAGCAGGGCCATGTGGAATATGGAACGTCATGGACCTCCCCCAGTGCGATCACTACAGCGCATTTATGGGTTGCCAACACGCCTGAGGAGCGGTCGGTGGAGATCATGGGCCTCATCCTCAAGAGTCAGTGAGCGAGGCGGGTGCCGCCGGCAGAGGCCTTCATGGAGGCCTTTGACGCTCAGGTGGCGAACTGCAACACGTGCAGCTTCCAGCAGAACGAGAGGGTGAGATGGTATAAGCCCGGGAAGCTTGCGGGGAGGTTACTGGACCTGGAGAAGTTATGGAATTTTCCTTGCAATCAGGGTTCCATTAGCATCTGGGGTTCCATCAGATTTCCTTCAAATTATTGCAATCAGCTGTGACAGTGACAATGATGTGAGTTCACTGCCTGCCAGTGTGGGAGTTCACTGCCATAATATATTACCCTGAGATAATGGCAGCGACAATGACAACGATGTGGGAGCTCACTGCGCTGGCTTGCACAGCGGCCATACTGTCTAGAGAGTCTAGAGGCTCAAGCCGGCGTAGGCTTTATGTTGCCCAAAACAATACTTAATACACCCCCGTGCGTCCATGCCAAATGTGCCGTCCACATCACATGTTTGATGTCAATATTTTGTATGTATGCCGTGCATACAAAATACGTCAATGTGTGTGTCTGTCTATCAGGCTTTTACCTTTAACAAACTGTTTGCGCTTGCTTTCCGGTGTCGGAACCACGGGCCCTAGTTTTTGGCAGGCCTGCTACTACAGCTACCCTTTTTTTGTAACACACGCAATTATTAATGGCCCCCGGACCCTTTTCCTCTATCTTACGCGGAAATGATCTTAAGCACAGACCTGTCGATTCGACCTGTTGTACAAAAAGAGGCCGCTGTTGGTTGGCCATCGTGCCATGAAAACGTTTTCGCGCGTTTGTTTTCGCCGTTTATGTCCTTGGTTCCTTCACCAAATCTTCAACATAATGAAACAAACCAGGCTGGCGTCACATGGCATGGCCATTAAACTAGGTAGAAACTCAGCAACTGCACCCAACGCACTCAACGAAGAGGTTTTTGGGCCGCTGGCAGAAGTCGGCAGGGTTCAAGTTTCAAGGTGAACCGGTGCACTAGCTCACATCCTCGATTTCATCGTCACGAGCTGGGGCTTCTTCTTCGCCGCCCTCATTCTCATCATTCCCATCTTCACAGAGGTGCTCGCAACTCACACCAGGCTCTACAGCGGGAATCGCAGGTTCCGCAACCTCTACGATCTCATTTGGATCAGCCGTCGGGTCAGGGAGTTCGGGTGCACTTGATGAACCTGGCACTGGGTGTGTGAGAAATTCAGCTATGACAATGGGACGCGTACATAAAAATAGAAGAATTAACTGTTCACTTTGCCTTGGGAGCCGGTATTGTAGAATGGCAACTCTGCAGCCAGGCTCGCCTGAAGATAATTGCAATGAACATCACATGAACCGTTAACAATAATTGCTGGGGGTCTGGCAACCACTTGCTGAACACGTTCAATTGAATCGCCGGCGGGCAAATGAGAACGGCCAATTTCCTGCAAACTGAAAACCGTCATATATATTCAACACCGGTTTTCAGAATGTGAGGCCCCCGCCGCGATTTCTTGTGACTTCGCTGCCTCCTTATACTTGCCCCCCACCTCAAAATGTTCAAAGTCGAACATAGGATGGGCAAAGGTTGCACCGGGGCGCAAACAGTAAAGGCTTCAGAACCGTTGACTTTCACTCCATAGATGTTGGTCCGTTTGTAAAAATAGATTTTGCCGACGGTCCTCTCACCTGGCAGCAAAAGGTTGGGGCGTGGTTTCTTCAAACACGTCAAAGGACTGATGTATGAGTTGAAACCTGGGCAGCTGAATTGTCCTTGGATTTTTGTTTGCGTTAAAGCTGTTCTGTCCAAAACTAACACAGACCGCGTTTTACAGGCCTTGGTCAGCAGCAGCGCACCTCTTTTTGCCTTGCGCCTTTGCTTTCCCCTTGGGCTTCGGATCACCCTCTTCCGCCCCACCTTCAGCGCCCAAGACACCTTCCGCCTTTGATTTCGCTTTCGGTTTCGGTTTCGCCCCCCCCTTCGCTTTTGCTTTGGCTTTGCTTTTTCCTTTCGGTTTCGCGGCAGCTTTCCCTTTCCCTTTTGGTTTCGCCTTACCCTTTGCTTTCGGTTCTTCCCCGGTTGGCATTTCTTCTGCCTGAGGTGTTTCGTCTGCGGTCTCAGAAACACCCTCCGGAGCAGAAGGGCCAGGCGTTGGCTTGGGTGCTGGCTTGGGCTTGGGGTTCCTCAAAGCTGATGGTCTCTTCATTGGTTGTGGTTCTCGCGGAGCGTCCTTGCGGAGAGCCGAACAAAGGTATATAATGCGTTTGAAAAAACTGGCACATTGATATCAGCGTGACATGGAATGTCACAGATATAGGTGTCGAAAAAGGAACAGACTCGTGAAACTGATTTGGATGGTTACACCCGGTTGTTTTCTCAGCGAAAAGTGGACTTACCGTCCTTCCGTCCCTCCTCAGCCGCTGGTTCCTCATCACTCAACTTGTCCACCGGCGGCAAAAGTCCCATCCTTTGCTACCCTGTATTACCCTACCCTGCTGCAACACAGCTATCTACTAATCGAGCCGTTAACCTAAATAGAACGGTGGGAATAATTACAAGTTCCGTTGCACACTGAGCTGGCGCATTCTGTTGTCAAACAGCAAAAACTTAACTGTGCGTTTTCCAACAATGCCCTCACGCTACGAACTGCCAGCTGGACAAGACAATTGAAACGTTGTCATGCCCACCTGTTGCGCATCTAAATGCAGCGTCGCCAGAAAACAGAACACATTGCGTTCAGTTTCAAAAAAATGTCTTCAAGCGCAGAGCTTAACAACTGCTTTGGAAAGAGAATGCCTATCAATGGCGCCGCTCACAAAAAGCATTCTGCGATGCGAGATCAAGCAGCCTGTCTACATCTTGGGTCACGTTATTTTGACCCACGTTGCTGGAGAAATTCGGAGTTTACATGTCACACAGAACTTGGGCTTGGTGGCAACAATCTTGGCATTTCCCGTTCCGGTTTGCACATCAACCTAAGCTTTGGTGATTGAAACCGTCACAAAAAATACTGCAACCCTGTCCAAAATGGAACAACCAAGAAACTTCCCACACGATCCCACAGACATCACTGCGCGGCAGTTTGTTCATCGCCCCAACAAAGGCAGCCCCAATGCTCGAATGCCTGCCAAATTTCAACTTGAATGGACCCGTGGATCTGAGAACAAAGTCCTATTCCGCAACTCTCCATTCTTCTGAAACTTTTCTTCCGCAACTATTTGGTACTCTTCCGCAACTACTCTTCAGAAACTATTTGGGATCTTCAGGAACTATTTTGCGATCTTCAGAAACTATTTCGCGATCTTCAGAAACTATTCCGCGATCTTCAGAGACTATTTCGCTATCTTCAGAAAAAGCTAACTTTAGAAAGTATTCCTCAGAACTTTTACAATGTCGCAACCAATTTGCATGAAGGAGCACTGGGTGGGTGGGGGGTAGGTGGGTGGGATATTGACGTACCTTGTGACGTCTACGGTATATACACATGCTTGTTTTGCGATCTGCAGAAAGATTTCCGCGCAAGTTTGATGTTGCTCTTCGACTGTTTGTAGTTTCCGAACATTAATTTCTGAAGAACACCGTAGAGTTTCCGAAGATTGGTTTCCGAAGAATAGTTTCCGAAGAAAACCTGAACCTTAAAGTTACCGAAGATTAGTTTCCATTTATCAGTTTCCGAAGAACACCATAAAGTTTCCGAAGAAAACCGCATAGTTTCCGAAGATTAGTTTCCAAAGAAATTGTAAAGTTTCCGATGATTAGTTTCCGAAGAAAACCGTAAAGTTTCCGAAGATCACCTTTTAGTTTCCGAATAAAACTTGGACCGTGGATCTGAATACAAACGTGAAACCTAAGTATCATCAGGGCAGTAAGTCTTAGCAACAAACAATTCATGGCCTCACAGTATCAGAATCTTTGAGCTCTGCTGGGCGAAACGAATTGCACTTGCCGCTCGGCGCTGGTGAAAGTGTGTATCGGTAAGGGACTGGGACAGGATCACCTCCATCCGCGGCCTCTAGGGCTTAAAACAAGGCACGGAACAGCATCAGAGCCACTCATAGCTTTTCGACTTTAGGATTTCCCGACAAGGCACTGGAGGGTGTTGTTTCTGGGTAATGGTGTGGTCCAGCAAATCGAACGCAGCGACTCCGTGCGTGGTGCAAATGAAATGCACAAAGTCAGCTAGGCTCATGAGGTTCTTGTTGTGCATCACAAGCTGCAAGTCTGAACTCAAGCGCCACGGCATCAAGGTCAGCTCTGCGTTTGGGTCGCCTTCCACGAAGGATTTCTTGGCGCGAGCAACCCTTTTGAAACCATGTTTTCACGGTTATAAACCCTTGTATATGTTTGGAAACGCGACATGGGGAGCACTCAAAATTTTGTAAGATTGTCACGGGCCGTTCCGGGCCTGTGATCAGCTTGTCCTCGAAAACACCACGGTTGAAACCAAAGACCTCCCCTTCGACGATGAGTTCCTCTGCAGTTGAATTCCCTAGATATACTTCATGCGACTTCGTGATAAACACTGCAGGCTTGCCCTTCACGCCGTCACAGGAAGCCAGCCTACAGAATGCAAAGCACAAAAATGAAAAGATACACCAAATTAACACCCCACTCAGAAAGAATAAAGATGTATAAAAATGGACCCTAGCGCTGCCCAAGAAACTTGGGAAAGTTGAATGAATCAGCAGGCAAAGCATCCAGCCGCACCTGTCTGCAAATGTCCACCGGCTTTTTCCCCCCTTCGATGGAGAAATCCGGCCGCCCAGCTGCGCGCACCGTGGTAGACGTGGTGCCACCTGCTGCTGAGCCCTCGCCAGCAAAGTTCTGTGGGAAAGTTGCCTGGACTTTCTCCTTCAAAGCGAGCATAGCAGCATGATGCGTGGTCCCTGTGGCAAACTTGTTCAGCAAAGAAGAAGGAAAACCACAACTCTGGCCACTCCACGTCAAAAGGTTCAAAATCGGATCGGGCTTCGCTTCCTGCGGCCTTTGCTTCGGAGGGCTATCAGCCAGCCCATCCCAATGAGAATAGACCATGTTCTCAACATCTGCGACGGTTTCCTTGTGGTCCCTGAGAACCCCGAAGTACACCAATCGAGGCGCCGCTGAAGATTCGTGCAGTACTTTCTGGGTGATAGCACGGCATAGCTCTGCATGCCTTAGAAGAACTAACCAGAAGCAATGCTGCAAACACAGGACATGGTTTCTGGGGTCGGCAAAAGACTTCCCGACTCGATAAAGGTGAGCCACTTGTTCGGAAGCACATCGAACACAAGGACCAGATCCTCCTGGCGGAAATCCATCCCCATGAACATCTCCTTCAACACCTGCTTGAAGGCGGGAACGCCTTTCCTCAGAAGTAACCAACTGGCAGGAAATTGCAACACGCTTCACAAAGACCACATGAGACTAACTACCGACCGGAGGCAAACTTGCTGCGAAATTAAATCTTTGGGCGGTTGAAGAGATTTAACTAGCGACAAAAAACCTTACTCACTGAGCACTCGGCTAAGTCGCTGCTCCACTCGCGCAGCAGCACCCGGGCGATTGTCACTGTCGTACCCGGCCATGTCAGCGATTTTGATGAGGGGAATCGGCCCCAATGTTCCCGATTTGAAGACTTTGCAAGCGGTCCATGGGTTGTCATCTTGATTTGATGCCGTAGTGACAAGCATCGCCGTTTGATAAGCCTTTCTCTTATCGTTGGCCATGCTGGATTGTTTGTCATAGCTGACGGTGATCTGCTGGGTCACGTCCAGGCCCGACTTCATGAAGAAATCCGTCATAGCTCTTGTGTGTTTCACAAGGGCTGCGGGAGTTGTTTGAGCGTGAAGAACTGGAAGGAGGACCAGCCCCATCGACAAGGTTGTCATAGAAACAGACTGGGAAAACACTTCAAGGCACTTGGACATGAACAAGGCATTGCTGGGCCACACGGTTGCGTCGAAGGTCACCAAAGTAAACCTCAATACATGCATGAGGCAGAAGTTGTCCCGGTTCGACAACTCCAGGCAGTTTGATCAAAGAAACAATCAAAGAAACAATTAAAACGCAACAGTGAATGAATGGCTTCCAACAAGGAGCGTCCGACCACCAGAGCGTACAACTGCCCCGCACCGATTGGTAAACCGCGCAAACTCGGCCACACAGTTCGGGAGTGTATCCTCAGACACCTTGAACATTTTGCAATTCGCCTCCAGCCAATCCTTCGTGTACGCCTGCCCTTTCCTGATATGACATGATGTATGCCCAAAACACAAACCAAAACATTGCACATCCGGTCGGCTATCAAACTTTCTATTTATATATATAAATATAAATATGGCTGGAAATAAATCGCTTCCTGTTTGTATTTCCGGACTCTGCTAGCACAAAGTGAAGTAGATGAGAACTAATTGCACTATGAGCTTCAATTGGCGCTCTTTGAGATAGCGTTGATCTTTAGCTGCCTCGACTGCTTCGACTTCTTTGGTGGGGATCCGCTGCTTAAGAGCATCGATGTCCGTGTTCACTTTCAATGTGATCTGTTCCACAGTCGCATTGTGGAGCTTCTCTGAGAGTTCCTTTTCCTGCTGCTCAAGGTCGTTCTGCACACGCTGGTCAACTGCGGCCACAATAACCCTAGTGAAGGACAAGTCGCTCAGGCTTGGAGGTGGCACAGCTGTGGACAGCATGTTCTCAAGCTCAGGATTTAGGTAACCCGTTCTGAATTGCCCGTAGAGCTTGTCCTCTGCATCCTTGAAGTCAGCCGCCGGCACCTTCCGCTGGAGCTCTTTGACAACAGCCAAGAACCCGCCACATAGAGCATGAATGGCCGAAGCATCACGGAAAGACCATTGTTTACGCATTTGCGGCATCAACTTGTCCCAATCATCTCGCAGCCGGCCAAGGACAAGCTTGACCTTAAACTCCAAAAATATCGGGTCGTCGGGGGTTCCATTCTGGGATCCGAAAAGAACACCAAATTTTACCAAGATCAGAACCTGTAAGATTAAGCAAAGCCAGAATTCCAACGCATCATCAGTGGAATTCGTCAAAGCATCTCGCCAGCTTTCATACGTGCCTGTACCTGAAGACCATCCCTGGTTGAACATGTCTTTCCCAATGACATCGTGCCCCATCCAAGCACGCATCCCGCGAAGTCGCACACTCTCACGCAATTCCGCGAGGAACGACGGAGATACACGGTGCTGCAAATTTGAGACGGCTTTCGCTTCCTTCTCTCCAATCTGGAATGCTCTCTGGATTTTGGTCGCGTCGTCCCAATCCTCAGCAACATGTCCCTACAAAATGAAACCGGGTCTCTCTTCGCTACTGCCCCCAAAATATTGAAAGCGAAAGATCAGTTGAGGCCAAGAACATCAACAAAAGAACAGTTGGGCTACCAAATGTTTTAATAGGTGCCCCGCGACAGTGAAGGAAGCAGCAGCATCACCATGCGCACGGCCAAGGACTTCGAGCTGTCGCAGAAAGTTAAAGCAATTTGGTGCTTTTCTTGTGGAAGTGGAACCCATAGTGATGCCTGCTTTGGGCTGGAAGGGCTTTTGTTAAAACACTTACGTCAAAGGGCCACGCTTGGTGAATCATAATGCTGCGAACACCTTGCCTCGATTGGCCCACACAATGTCCCGCACATTGGCAAAATCTGCAACGGTGCCATGCACCGCTCTGATCGAAGACTGCAGTCAGCCAGGCTTCAAAAAAGGATCACATTGTATAGACTGGTGTAAAATTAACTACCGGCCTTGAAGGCGCCATCCAAATCGTCCAGCGAGATCTCCAACTCCTTGATGCCTGCCAGCCCGATCAAGCAGCAAACGCTGCGTCTCCATCCTTTCACGTATCCAATGCTGAAGGGCGAGATGGCATCAGGACCTAAGCTTTGTCTTTGGCCATGCAAAGTCTGGCAGATTCCAAGCTACACACGCCCCTCGCACCAAAAGCCGCAAGGAGATGGCCTGGGAAACGGAGGTCAAAACACAAACATTAACATTCGACCAAGAATGCTCATGGCATGAAGGAACGTAGTGGGGTTGCATGGCGGAAGGGGGCATTTAATTTGAGTCTGCACTTTTTTACGCGACCATCCACCAATTGCCAATGTCACAAAGACCTGTAGTCACAAAAGACTGCTAGGTCACCAAGACTGCTACGTAGACTTTAGAATCAAAACCTGTAGTCGCTGGCTGTCAATTGTAAATGCATGTTTTCTTCCTTGGCAGGCTCAGAGGTTTCTTCTCATCGCCCTGGGCCCCATCACAACGAGCGTGAGCATCTTGATTGGGAACAGCTGCAACCACACCAGACTCACAATTGTTGCCCTTTGTGTCTTCCTTGTGGAGCTTTGGTGTGTTTTCCTTCGCAGCCACATCTCGTGACTCTGTGACCTGTGAGCCCTCCAAAACAGGTGACTCATCTTCTGCTCCACCGCCCAAAATCAGTGTTGAGTCTGAGTCACAATCGGGTGGCAGTTGACTGTCAATTTCCTCTTCCGCCTCAGCCTTCCGCTTGGCCATGATGAGTTACTGTAGAACGGGTCTACAACTGTGGGTTTCAGCGTGAAAAGGGCCCCGATATTGCGCAAAAATTGGCTGCAGAATCAATGATCAGCCCACATCCAAATCCCCAACACCAAACCCTGCCTGGCTCCCAACCCTGACCACTACTGCACGACTGGACTCTGGGCGGCGGGCGTTGGCATGAGGCTGGCACAGAGATAATGGCCTCATGAACGGAAAACACACACACACCATCTTTTGGTTTGGTCGACCGATTGAAGATGGTTGGATAACAAAGATTCCATTGTGCACTTGAGGGTCTGGCGTGAAGATGTAGCACGTCCACCAAAATGATCGGTGTGATGCTCCATGATCCGCTCTCTGTAATTGGCTTAACGGCTTTCAAACTAAAGCCATTTCATTGATAACTATTGAGTGTAGACTAACAACTCAGGACAGAACTGTCTGAGTCCAATGGAGGGAGGTCGGACGCGGGGGCCTCGAGGAAGGCTGAATCTGGCTTCATCATGGCAATCTTCTCAACTCCTGGAATATTGCTGTCGGTCCGGAACCTGAGAAATTCGATTGAAGAATTGAGTTCACTATTTCCAATTTGACACCGTAAAAAAACACAAACCTCAGTGCAACACAAGCACCCCTCCGTGAGGATTAACTGCAATAGCACCTCTCCATCATCCGGTTCCATGTACCCAGGCAAGCCGTAATCTGTCCTGAAAGACAATTGCCAAGCGCGAACAATTTTTGCCCCTGGCTCCAAGCTTGTAGAGTACACCTGTGAACTGCTCGGTGGGAAATGATGATCTATCCACCGGGCAAAACCCAGAAGATCATCCTGGCATCACAGGTAAAATTGCACCAACTACCACCACAAAATACATCACTGCAGCAATTCAAAGCAATGTGAGGAGCGGCCTTCTTCTGATACCGCTTCATCAGGAACTTGTCTGCGCCTCCTTCTGGCACCACGACATGTCTATACCTCACAGCCAGAAAGTCATTGGTGGTTCAAGTGACGTTAACACTGACTTGGTCGCGCCAGTCAGTGATCTTCGCCACATACTCTGGAATGGCGGGCGGCCGCTTCAAGGCTTTGGTTGCAGCAGCCGCGCCCCCGGCCGATTTTCTTTTTGCGGGCATTACGAAAGCCTTCCGCTCAGATTTGAACCCCTGATAATCACAACAAAAAGCTAGAGGCGTCTTCACGGCAATCAACGTTGGACATGAAGCTGGCGTTGACTTGAACACCAAAGATTGAGCACACTCTTTTTGACGGCAGCCAGACTAGCCTTCAAAAGCTTCCTGTTTAACTGCACACAGTCACACAGAGATTGCGTCTCTACAATCCACCCTGAAAGGATTGTTTGAACTAGCGGCTAAACTGCTGACGTTTCCGGCCTGATCAAAATGAGACTCACGGGTCGCAAGAAGCACTTGGGAGAGAGCCTGCGATACTATTGAACAACAAGTCTGCGTCACCGCTCAGACGTGGAATGACATCGGCGAAAGAACCTCCAGATTGCGCTGGATGTGCGCCGGGGCTCAACACATGCCTCATACAAAGAAAACTATATATACACAGAAAATAATATATGGGGAAAATATGTATACTCATCTATTTATGGAAAAAAGAAGGCGGACAGTAGAAGTTTGTGTTTGCCAGGAAACTGCCCATGGGTTCCACCCCATCAGTCAACACGTCAAACTTAGCCGGGGGGATATAGATAGCAGGGCATCCGATGTTCTTGGCTATAGCAGCGGCGGGCATAGGGGCATCAAGCATGCCCATCTCGCTGCAAGGAATGAGGGCGATAAGCTCGTTTTCCACGTACCAAGTCTGGGCACAAAATTCTGCACATCCAATATCAGCGCTCGACATTGCACTCGGGATTTTGTCTGGCCAGACTGCCGTGTTCCGAAAGAGGAACCTAGGCCGCAACGGCAAGTCACGCGGGTTGCGCAATGCAAAGAAAGGGCTTCACCAAAAAAACATCATCAACAAACTTGTTCATTTCCAAAGACCAGAAACACAAGCTTCTCTTTCTCAGACGTTGGTTGACCATCGTAGTTTCTCTTCAGCACTTTACGACCACAAAGAAATGCTATAGGCCCTGCGTAAAGAAGTTGACTCTCCCCAGTCGGAGTCTGAGAAGTCAGCGCTTGCTCACCTGCAAACAGTTGAGAATGATAAATGCACCACGGGTGCGTGGATAATGCGTGCACACAGTATCGGTCGTACGCACGTCGGTATAAATCACGTCACGTCATGTCACGTCATGTATGTATACATGTATATCATATCAATATACGCTTCTTGTTTCGAGCCTGCCAGCATATCATAGTATCGGATCGTCACGGTGTTCTTCTCCCCCAAGTAACCCTTGCGCACAAGCTCCTGGCCCAGTTTCCCAAAAATGAACCCTTCAAACGCACCAAAAAACGGCAACAACCGCCACTGGCCTCAAACGCTGAAGAATCTTCAATGCAAAATCGGTTCGTGTCGTTCTCTTGCGAGCCAGCATTACGCCCTCAGAAAGGAACATCAAGAGAAATTCTGGTTGATCTTTCTGCCAACAGCAAGGACCCATTAAATTTCTCAACCCAGCCTTGCCCTTCAGATGTTTTAGGCATTTGACTGCGACGTTCCGAACGCTTGGAGGAGCGTT